GTAGGGTGGCTGATCAAGATCTCAGCCAACCCTAGATCATCATCATCATCGTGTTATTGCTGTGGCATCAGGCCAGCAGCACCTTGAAGGCCAAGATCCTGTGGATCTTGGTAGTGCTTTGCTCTTGGCCAACCAAGAGCCTGGTATTCTCTCTCCACTAACCTACCCTCCCCCAACCCCTTTTCTCTTCCCCCCCATCGTCTAATCATCCTTTCTAACTCTACCACTACCCCCCCTCCTCCCACATCCCTCTTCACTCATCTCACACCACCTTTTTCTCTCCTCTTCTCCCCACTCACCATCTTCCACTAATCTCATCTCCCCCATCTCCCACTTCACTCCTCTCTCTCTCCCCTATTTCTCTCTTCTTCATCACTCTTTCATCCCCTTGCCCCCCCCACTTCAAATTTTCCTGTTTTTCTTCTTTTCCCTTTCTCTTTGATTTAAATCTTCTCTTTTCTCCAAAAATTCAAATTATCTTATTCCCCCCGCTCCCTTCTCATTTTCTGATTTATTTTATTTTTTCTTTTTATTTTTTCTGAAAATTTGAATTTCTTTGCGGCACCCTTAAATCTGACTAGGAGTTGGTCTTTCTTGCTTTCGGCACACATTTTGGCCCCGTGTTGCCGAAATTTTCTGTTTTTCTTTCACTTAGTCTTTTTCGGCACACTTTGACCTCACACTTTGACCTCATGGGGGTAACGAAATGCTGCCGAAATTTTTGAAAAATCAGATACTCCATTTCTCTCCACCTCCTCATCCACTTATTTACTTATTCATTTATTTATTATTTCTTTATTTATTTTTTGAAATTTTTAATTTGCGGCATTTTCAAATCTAGTGTGCTTATCTTGGTCTCTCCTTTTCCCTTGGCACATTCTTGACCTCATGGGGGGTAGGGAAATGCTACCGAAAATTCTAAAAAAATACATATTATTTCTCTCGTAATATTTTGTTCCCTTATTTCTATGATTATTATTATTTTTTTTTTATTTATTTATTTCCTTTTTTATTTTTATTTTTCTCTTGAAATTTCGCTGTCTATTTATTTTTCCTGCCGCCTTTCCCCCCTATGCTTGCTATTTTATTTTCTTGATTAGGTCACCAGTACCCTACCCTAACCACTCAAACTTCGGTTAGGGTTTTCTTAGGGTTCTTCTAGGGTTTAGGGTTTTCCTAACCCCCTTACCTTCCCTTCTCATTCAGCCACCCTCGATCCGAACCACCCCTCCCCCTTTGACGGCACCCGTGCTCGATTTACTAGCGCCGCCCGTCGACTTCTATCGCAGAACTTCCCCTACGCCCTCCGCTCATCTGGACCTCCTCCGACCCTCTCTAGTCCGGCCCGTTACCTCCCCCCTCATCACCTCCCTCTTTGCGCCCTTACAGGCGCAGATGGCGACTCTTGCCGCTGGCTTGCGGCAACTCCAGGACGCTGGCCGTCGTTCCTCTCCTCACTCTCTCTCTTCTCCTGGCTCCGTGTCCGGGTCCCCCGTCCTCCAACATTGTGGCCACGGCGGAGCTTCCTCCTCTGTCGCCCCCGACCCGACCATCCCGGTGACCGTCCACGCTGCTAGTCGACGGTCGCCACAGGCCAGACCCTCCCTCACTCTACAGGCGCACCTGCCCAGATTCCGGTCGCTACGGCCACGGGACCACAACCCGCTGCCATGGTCTCAACTTTTCCGGGTGCCCCGCTTCTCCCTCCCCTTTGCACAATCGCAACACCACCTGGCTCTCTCCCCTGTGGGATGCCCCGCGCAGCTCGTGCGTCCACTTCCCCCACTCTTCCTCCTACCACTCCTCGCTCGATCAACGTTCGACGTCTCAAGGACGAGCTTGCCCAGACCCGGGCCGACCTCGCTCTCTTACCCCTTCAGCCACCCCCACACTCACAGGTGGCCGCGCCTTTGTGCGCACCGCCTTCTTCCTCTACCCTTCCTTCCATGCAGGCTCGCCTCCCTCGCCCTGCACCCTATCCAGCCCCATCCTACCTTCTTCCTATTCCCTCGGTTGCTGCGACCTCTTCTACCGCAGCTCCCTCGCAGCCTGTCGCCGTTGCCCCCGCTGCTCCCCCATGCGGCCCGGGCGTACAGTCAGCTGCGCCCCTTTCTCCAGGACCTGCGCCGACTTACTCAGTCGTGGCACAGGCCTCTGCTCCTCGATCCCCTCGCCGCCAAAACAGTGGCACACCACTCGTCCGCTTGGCGGACATTGCCTTGTACGAAGGTACAGGAATACGTGTGTATCGGTGGCTGCAGTCTGCCACCCGCACGGTCGAGCTCATGGGCGCCCCACCCGACACGTGGGTGGGTCACCTTTCCACGCGCCTGCGTGCCGGTCCTTTCGAGGTCTGGGAGGATTTCTACGCGCACTCCCTTCGTGAGGGTCGGACCCCGACCTGCATAGATTTCCTGGCGTTCCTCGAGGATCGCTTCGGAGCCCGACATGACGTGACTGACGCCTTCGAGCGTGTCGTCACTACATGTTGGTCCAGCTCTGGTGGCGCTGCCGGCCTGGATTGCCACATCCATGTCTTTCAGGACACCCGCCTCATTTGTGATGTGGCGTTCCTTCCTGAGGCTGCCCTCATCGATCGTTTCTTGGTCAGCCTTCCCCTTGAGTACCGCTCCGAGTTCGGGCGGTACGAGTTCACATCGGCCCCGCAGGCTTACGAGGCCGCTAGGACCCATCAGCGGATGCGGGCCCGTCTTCACCCCGCCTCGTCCCAGCCTCAGCGTACTAGTTATGCCCCCTCCTCTTACGGCACTTCCCAACGCCGTTCCCCTTTCTGCGGTCGCCCCCGCCGTTCCGTGCAGCAGTGCCGCCACTTCTCGCGCTGCTTCAGCGCACTCGAGTATGGTGAGCAGGACGTTGTTGCCCCTCTGTCGCCTGAGGGTGACCATAGCGACGACCTGGACCTCGGTGAGGCCGTCCACTACCACCTAGAGGACTCTACTCTCCCTGTGGCCGAGCGCCTCCAGCTCATCTTCTCCACCCTCTCCCGGGCACGCAGCCGCCCCGGTCACGCTGGCGCGACGCCCCCCGAGGTCCCTCAGCAGGACCTTCTTCAGGGCTTTGTCCCTCGCGGTATCCTTTCCGTTGAGGAGCGCGTGGCTATTTTGGGCCGGCGTGGGTGTTTGCATTGCCGCCAGGCGATCATACCTCCTCGCGGTGCCCTTACACCGCCGCCCTCGACTGCCACTACGCTGACCTTTCCCTCCAGCGTCGTGCTCAGTCCCCCCCCGACGCCTCGCATCTCTGCGGCGCCTCCTAGCCACGGTGCAGTGTACACCTGCGCCGTCCTCAGTAGTCGGCTTCCCGACATCCCCATCACGGTTTGCCCCTCCCGCTACTGGAGTTGAGGTATCGCTAGATCCGACAAAGTGTACTCAGCTCTCTGTCGCAGTACTGTCTGCGCCTCCGCAGACCACCGTCTCCCCTCCTACCCCTCTGCGACTATCGACACGTCGAGACATTCGCTCAGCCCGTTGCAACGAGCAGCTTGCGACTCGCGAGGACGTTGTGTCCTCTCTTTTGGACTTGAGCATGCTTTAGGCTCGTCAGTTGCGACTTGCCCTCCATGTCGCTGCACTACGTCGCCTCCTCACCATCCTCTCCGACCCTGATCGCACCCTCCCGATCATTATAGTAGGACTGGGGACCTCCACGAGGGTGTACTCGGCGTTGTGGGATTCCGGTTCTCAAGGCGGCTTCAATCACCCACGAGTGGTGAAAGAAACCCGCTTACCCACGACAGGGTCTCCGAATCCCATCTCTGTCACCCTAGGGGATGACAAGACCCAGCGCTTCTTCTATCACACGGTCACCGTCCTCTCTTTCTTTCTCACTCTCGAGCTGACTGATCGTCCCCCGGCGTCTTGTCGCCACCGCTCCTCTGCACATTTCAATGTGATGGAGACGGGGTACGACTTCATTCTCGACATTCCGTGGTCTCGTCGGTCTCGCAGCACCGAGGCCGATTGGGCGACCAACACTCTCATTCTCAAAATGAAGTGTGGACAGAAGTATTGCGTACCTTTCATAGGTACCACCGCGACACCACGCCCCGATCCTCCTCTCCCGGAGCCTTCCGTGGCCACACCATCTCTTAAGATCATTGTCACCTCGCCTTGACAGTTTGCTCACTTCATCCGACAGGATGGCGTCACCTTCTTTATGGTGAACGTTACGGATCTCTTACACCTTGATCGACCCTGTCCCGGCGTCGAGCTCATCCCTCTGGAGTTAGATCCTCCTATCTCCATGGCTCCCATCTAAACTTCCCACCCTCCGCCGTCCGTCGAAGCCTTCTACTCCCGTCAGCTCCTGCCCGTCGAGATAAACTACACCGCTGATGAACGTGAGGTTCTCGCAGTAGTTTATGCCGCTCGGCACTGGCGTCACTACCTGCATGGGGCATCGTTCACGGTGCGCACGAACAACTCAGTTGTCCAAGCTTTTCTGACAAAGCCGAAGCTCACTCGTCGACAGGCTCGCTGGTGGCGCGACCTATCCGACTTTAGTTTCACCATTGAGCACATCAAGGGTGAGACTAATTGGGTCGCAGATGCCTTATCCCGACGCCCTGACCATGATCAGGAGCAGATCCAGCTCGCTTCCATCTCGGTCACCACCGTCCACCACTCGGTGATCGACGAGTTTCGCACTCAGTAAACTGCCCCGATGATCGCGACATCCATGCGCCCCTTCGAAGTGGCAAGACCGTCCTGAACTACTCTCTCGGGGACAACGGTCTTGTGTACTGGCACGGTTCACAGGGCACCAGAGAGCCCCGTATTTGCGTTCCCTCCACTGGACAGCTACATGTCCGAGCAGTAGCAGAGTTCCATGACCAGGCAGCCGCCGGTCATATGGGCTTCCACAAGACGTTGGCTCGTGTGAGCCGTCTGTACGTCTGGCCGAAGTGCAAGGACTTTGTGAATGACTACGTCGCAGAGTGTCCCACAGTCAGGAGGTGAACAGTGTGAACCACTTACCTTATTGTTTGCTCCAGCCTCTTCCCATCCCTGAAGGCGGTTGGCAGTCCATCTCGATGGACTTTATCGGTCCTCTTCGTCCTCCGACCCCCCGTGGTCATGATGCTATCCTGGTCGTCGTCGACCGCTTCACGAAGTGTGCACGCTTCGTTCCGTGTCGCTATGCCATCAGTGCACGTGAGGTCGTCGACATCGTGTTTGACCGAGTCGTGCATGACCACAGCTTACCTCTGAGCATCATATCTGACCGTGACCCGCGCTTTACCAGCCGATTCTAACGACGGTTCCACGAGGTTTACGGCACCCAGCTCCGCTTCTCCTCGTCTTACCATCCCCAGACTGATGGTCAGACCGAGGTCACGAACAGGACTCTCGAAGATATTCTCCGAAAGATTGTTTGTGACGACCAGCAGTGGGATCTCCATCTTGCCCACGCGGAGGTAGCCTACAACCACATTGTTTCGCCGGCCACGGTGATGTCGCCTTACTATTGTGACCTCGACTATCACCCTCGTATTCCCACGAGCTTCCTTCGACCGTCATAGATGCACCCCGACACGAGTTGTCCCGCGCTGGATGATTGGGTTGCACACATGACGTCGATCATGAAGACCGCACATGAGCACATAGCCGCTTCCCAGACTCGCATGGCAGCACGTGCGAACCGATCAAGGATGAATCATCCATTCAAAGTCGGTGATGATGTGCTTATCGACGCCCGCCACTTACAGCTGGAAGCGGACACGCTTCGCAAGTTTCGGCGTTGCTTCTTTGGCCCATGCCGCATTCTCCAGGCCATCAGTTTTGATACGGCTTCTAGCCCGGTCAGCTTCCGTGTGAAGCTGCCCGACTACCTACGCCAGGCTCGTCTGAGCGTTTCGCTGGACGACCATACGAGCGCCCTCCACCCATCATGGTGGACGGCCACGAGGAGTTCCTCGTTTCAGACATCATTGGTCGTCGAGTCACCGACGACAAACCTCCTCACGTCGAGTATCTCGTACGTTGGAAGGGTTACCCTGATGAGGAGGCTACTTGGGAGCCCCTCGAGCACTTGCAGCACGCTCGCATGTTGGTGCATGCCTATGATTGTGCTCGTCGTGCCGGGTTCACTGCTCCTCCTCAGCCCACTGACCCTCCTCCTTCTCCTACGGCTGAGGAGACCACTGAAGTCAAGCCTGCTCCATCTGAGGCAGACCTTCAGCAGCAGCCGGACGCTTCTAAGCGTCTACAGCGCACTCGCCGTTGTCCTGCTTGATACGACAATTGACTCTGACTTATCTTCCCACGTCTTTGACTTCTCAGTACTCCATCCACTCCAGTTTTGCCACTTCAACTCGTCAACGTTGCGGCTCTTCCTCGACGGCATTCCGGACTTCTCATCATGGACGTCATCGACAGCTTCATGGACTTCGTCACGATCAACTCTGCCTACTTTAGACGTCATCACCCTCTGACCACTTTACCCTGTACAGGACCCTGGTTGTGTCGCATGATGGTCTTCCTTCGCCAGGTTCCTCTGAGTTGGGCTCTCCCCTAGTATACGCATAGGCATCGAGACCGTAGCGTTGCCCTAGCTATCCAGCTTACGAATCTAGCTCCGACTTCCCTCACTTTAGGAGTCGTTTGCATGATTCCCTTACCCATCACCTTTCTACCCTCTGTCGGCCCTCACGCCCTAGTTAGGCAGCCTTGCATGCTTTATCTAGGTGCGCCCAATATACCAGGCTCCCTTGTTCCCTTGCATGGTCGACCCTCCATAACGGTCACCCCTTCGATCGAGCATTACCCGCCTTGATGGTCTATCTGTTAGGGTCATTGGTTCTGTTCGCTCCCAGTTCCCTACCCTCATTGAGCCTGATGACATGTGCCTCCCTGTCATTTTGTGTGGATGCCATTAGGAGTTATCGGCCCCTAGGCTGGCTTCGCCACCCTCAGAGACCATCCCACCCTTTGGTTTGCGATGCACTCCTTCTGTGACATATGGTTGACTTGTTGTTGCTTCGTTGCTGTCAGACTGAGGCTACTACCTCTGACATTTCTAGGATTGAGTCGTTCTGCTTTTGCTGTTCTTAGGACTTATAGACTAGTCAGTTGTTTCCAGACTGAGGCTACTGCCTCCAACATTCAAGGACCTAGTTGTCACCACTTCCTGCTTTCCTAGGACATATATGCTAGTTAGTTGCTTTTGCTTTCACTTAGGCTGTTAGTTGTGACATTGCTTTTTTTGTGACATTTTCTATCCTAGGTTGCATCGCATGGACTCAACATGGAGCTTGCTCCGCATCGTAGACTACTAAGGTTTTCTTTTTCTTTGGTAGAGTTCCGCTTCTTGGCGGAAGTGTGCTTGTATCTAGTCGATCCATCACAAACCGTGAATCGTGTAGCGGACCTCTGGTTGGCCTGTGAGACCAGCCCCTTGGCCTGTTCTCACAAGCCTGTGTTCTATTCGGGGCAGTGAGGTCCAGGTCGGTACCTCTGTCGGTACCAGCCAGTCCAGTCCAGTCCCGTCAGTCCACTGGGGTATACCCCAGCTGTGGTCTGTTTTCCGATTCATTCTACATTCACACACTTTGGAGTACGTGCGTTGGAGTCTGGCGTGGGAGCTGCGTTGTGCCATCTCGCTCCCCCTTCTTCCTCCATCTCCATCTTTATCCCCCGCGGAGCACCACACCTGGTGGGTCCGCCACAGCCCTGTCCCAGTTACCGCTGGGCACTGATTATGAACGCCCTGTGACGATCATGATCGGGTCAGTGACCAGCCTTTAGGTATATTCAGACTCAGTTTAAAATATTAGTCGGTGATATTTCATTATAGTTCAAATTATTGTATTGTCTGTTTGACGTTCGAAGGAAAAATCGGCGGGTGGGGAACAACGAGAGAGAGTAAGAGGAATTGAAAGGGAGAAAGGTAGCGAGTGAATTGGAAACAGGGGGGGGGCGAGAGGAAGGAACTGTACATACAAGGAAAGAGAAAGAGAGGTCATACACTTAGAGAGAGTGAGTGAGAGGTGAAGCAAGGGAGAAGGAGCATGGAAACAGGGGGGCACATGCAGCGAGAGGAGCCTGAAATCTGACTGGGTAATACTTTTTCTTCTTAAGTGAGCATTTTACCTCCTCCTATTTGTTGAAAAGGAAATGCTTCAGAAGCCAAACTGTTGACACTCGTAAACAGGTCCGATCTGTATTTCATGCCAGTTCAAGAAAATGGGAAAGTCGTTACTGAGCAAAATATATTTTTTTTAAGTTTTATAATCCGATGGTGACGAGATAAAGCCTTTCTGCGAGCAAGGATAACAGGCAACATTAAAACCTGTCACCCTATTGGTCGCAGAGGACCTCGGAAGCGGGCGTGGCGAGTGACAGGCGTCGTCGCCCTTGGCCTCGGCGAACAGTAGGCGCCCCTCCCCGAGCTTCCTCACAACAGATTCCAATCTCACCAAGGTCACTACAGATGTGAGCCAATACCGGATTGGCGCAGTGCTGCAACAAGATGATGGTGATGGCCTGCGTTTGCTCGAATATTACAGCAAACACGTGCCCAGCCATAAGGTACCTCTACATATGTGTGTGAGCTCTATGGCTTGCGAGAGGTGCTAGCGCATTGGAAGCACTACCTGTGATGCGCGTATGGAGGGCACGTGCGGAGATGGTGAGTGAGGGAGAGAGAGGGAGGAGATGGACACACATGAGCAGCAAAATGAATGAATGAACAAACCAGGAATGAATGAACCAACCTTCTTGACCAGGGCCTGGGCGGAAGAGATATACCAACCTAGGTCCAGGCCCGAAGCAACCCGGTACCAGATCGAGGTTAGGCCGACGGCCTGAAACTGGTTCGGCCTCACTGTCGGGTCGAAGGGGTACCGCTACATGATCCTCGGACCTGTAAATGGATCAAGCGATATATCAAACACGCTATCCATTGAAATAGTGGAAACCCATAAGGAACGACAAAGAAACAATCCTAAATGCGGAGCAAGCGCTGTCTAGGAAAAGAGATGCAATGCAAACTAAGCCTCAAGCCTAACCTAAGCAACAATTCATGGCTTGAGTCGACCCAAAAAGAAGAAAAATGTATGACCTGTGTCAACCAAGAAAGAGGAAAATGTCTCCTAAGCCAATGTGGCTAGACACAAATCAACACCTGAGCCCTAAAGGCTAAAGAATAACTAAACCAATGTCCTACGTCGAAAAAGAGTGTGGCACAGTCTCACGAGCCCTGTACAAAGTGCACAATAGACGTATAGAAGAAAGGGAGCTCACCCGTATGGGAAGGGTAGGACTCGGTGGGAGGGCGTCAAGTACAACTCTCAGAGTAAACTCCAAGGGGGTACCCACACAACCATATGAAACATCAATAACAACACGACACCAGGCTCAATGGAAACCATCAAATAGGTACCGCCAAACAGGTACCGCCAACTAAAAGGAAAGGACACTCACACAAGGGAGCACACAAGCGAGCCTGGAAGGGTAGAGGCCTATGCCGGCATAGACATGTGGCCAAAAGCGACGAACAAAGAAAACGTACACTCAAGAGGAGGGCGCACAACATAAGGTAAGGCAGAAGAGCAGCAGACGAACACACCCACATGAGTAGGGAAAATAGGAGCCATCATGCGATTGCAAAGTAAGCTCGAAGGTGAGGGTTGGGTGGGAATGAAGGAAACTCCATGGCAGAGGGGGAAATGAAGTACAATTGATAAAGCTCGAAGCTGAAGTCGGGTCGAAGTAGCCAGACTGACGTAGGAGTAACACTGAAGCTGAGTAGAAGTCTGGAATGGCGCGACAGGTACTCTGCTGCTGGAGAGGCGCACTCAAGTCAAAGGTCAAATGTAGATGTCAGAATCGGGAGCTGCTACATACGTGTCCAAGTATGAGATAGAGGAGAGGTATAGGTCACTCACGATAGTGAGACGGAAGTCGGTGGGCAAGCGGAGGGCGAGACGACTCCACTGCAACAACAGGCGGAACCACGTCCGCGGGAGAGAGATGATCCGAGGTAGGTGTCGGTGGTGTAGGAGGGCCCATCAATGTAGGATCGGGAGTGTCAGTGGTCGTGAAAGTAGATGGGTTAGTGCGGGGACGGGAAGTAGGAGGGAAAGGATGAGCACTATCGTAAGCACGCACGAAAGTCATGGCATGCTTGAGGTGCTCGAGAGGCTCCTAAGTAGACTGCTAGTCATGGCATGCTTGAACAAGATGCAAATTCCAATCACAGTCATTTGCAACAAACTTCTTGAGGATACTCCCAAGAGTTTTGTTGAT